CCCCCCCCCCTCCCCCGCCCCCGCCCCAGGCCCTCTCGCCCATGTTTGCGGTCATCCTGTCACGGCTGCTGATGGGCGAGCGGCACTCCTCCAAGGTGTACTTGGCCCTGGTGCCGCTGGTGGGCGGGGTCATGCTGGCCTCCGGCACGGAGCTCTCCTTCTCCTGGCTGTGGTCCTGGGTCTCTCCGGGCTCCGCGGCCGGCGGCCCGGCCGGGGCTTCCTCGGCCGCGGCGGCCGGCGCCATCTCGGCCCTCATCTCGTGCCTGATTTTCAACCTGCAAAATCTGGTCAGCAAGAAGCTCATGTCCAAGCAGACTCTCGAGCCGGCGGCGTTGGCCTTCCACACCAGCTGGGCGGCCCTCTTTGTGCTGGTGCCCCTGTGGCTGTACTCCGACCGGTCCGGCTCGCTGGACCTCCTGCATGCCGATGGCCAGGCCCTCTCGCCTGGGGTCCTGCTGATGTTGCTCTTCCTCAATGGGGCCGGGCACTTCGCGCAGAAGGCCTGCGCCTTGACGCTCATCCGCCTGATCAGCCCGGTGGCCTACAGCGTGGCCTCCCTGCTGAAGCGCATTTTTGTCATCGCCAGCGCCGTGGTCCTGTCCGGGATCCTGCCCAAGCCGGTGGGCATCTTCGGCTTCACGCTCACCTTCTTCGGGCTGTGGATGTACAACCACGCCCGGAGCGAGGCCAAGCGCAAGGCCGGCGGCAAGAAGGCTGGCAGCTTTGCTGCCGGGGCGATGGCCGGGGCCGGGACCATGGCCTTGGCCCCGACCGCCGACCCCCCTTCGGCCGCCGCGTTCGGCAACGGTGGTGGCAGCGATGGCGGACGGCGATCTTCCTCCGCCCTAGCGGGTGATGCCGCCGCCGCCGCCGCCGCCGCCGCCGCCGCTGCCGCCGCCGCCGCCGCCGCCGCCGCTGCTGCTGGCGCCGCCACCGGGCCGCAGCACCCCCACGCCGCCCCGTACCACCAGCACTCGAACTCCTTTTCCATGATGACCGGCGGCGGCGGCGCTCAGCCGGGCGGCGTCGGCCATCAGGCCTCCTCGACGCCAGCCGTGTCCTCATCGCGCTCAACCCCGGCGGTGTCCTTCATCCCGGCGGCCACTGGCCCCTCCTCCTCCGGTGCGTGTACCCCTGCGCCCCCACCAGGCCCCCGGCCGGCCGGCCGGCCGGCCGGCCACCGAGTCTGTCGAGTGCGGGTGCGATGCCATGCGGTGCATCCCTGTTTTCTGACCCGTCCGTTTGCGTTTCCTCTTCAAAACACACACACGGACCCCCGGCCACACATAGTGACTGTGGCCATGCCCGCCGAGGCAGCCACGCCCGGGGACACCGGCAACAGCGGCTCACTGCCGCGCTTCACGGCGCACCATCCCCCGACGGCCGGCTCCTCAATCATGCCGGTTGGGGGGCCGCCCAAGGAAGCAACCCCCTTCCCCAAGGTCCTCCACGGGCAGGAGCTCGGCCCGGCGTCAGTTTCGCAACTGGGATCCCCGCACATGGTGGTAGCCGGGCAGTTTGGTGCCGCCAAGCCGGCCGATCACCCGGTGCCCGCCGGCAGCGCCGCGGCGGCCATGCTGGCATCGACATCGTTGTCGTCATCATCTTCCCAGGCCACCACCCCGGTGATCAATGCCGCCATGGCATTCGGTGATGTGCATCACGCCGCCGCCACGGCCACGGCCACGGCCACCCCCGCCCCGCCGCTGCCGCGCCACCACCACACCCACCATCACCATACCCCGATCATGCTGTCCCGCACGAATTCCTCCCTCGGCGCCGGGGGGGTGGTGGCCGGTGCCGGCGCGGCTGCCGATCGCAAGACCGACGCCCTGCAATTTGACATGGCTGCCGGGGCCGGCGGCGGGCCGGGGATGCTGACCTCGGCGGCGGCTGCACCCTCGATCGTCATTGCCAACTGATGGTTCGCTCCTTGGCGCCTCGCGCCACTCCACGGGCGCGCCAGCGCGTCCGCGTGGGCATGAGTGTGCCACGCACGCGTGTGCCCCCGTACAGGTCCCCCCCCCCCCCCCCCCTCGCCCCATATAGTCCTCTTGTGTTCCCTCCCTTCCCGCCCCCTTCTCTCCCTGTCTCTCTCAGTTCAGACTCGCCCCCTCCCCTCCATACCCACTGTAGATTACTCCCCCAATAATATATAGAGCACCCCTCTCCGTCTCCAGCACCCCAGCACGCCCCCCCCCCTCATACATTCAGCTAAGGAGGCGGGCCATAAAAGGCCGCATATCGCACCGGTGGGGCATGTCACAGGCGGAGTAATCAAGCGTGTGCGTCTGTGTGTGTGTGTGTGTGTGTGTGTTTGTGTGGTGTAGAGGGGAATTCTTTGATTATTTTACTTTTTCGTCGGTTGATTTCCAAGCACAAGGGGGCCCACTTCTCCTGGAGCACATGACGGGGGGGAGGAGCCCAGGAGAAGAGGCCGCGCGACCTATGCCGTGGATGGGTGGTGTGATGTGCGCGCGCGCGCACTGCCATACTTCGTCCACCCTCGCCCGGTCGCTCCCTCGCCCGCGCGCGCACGGATGAACTGAGGGGCGGCGGCCACGGGAGAGCGAGAGGAGGAGCGGGGAGGAGAAGGGACGCAGCGCAGCACACAAGGGGGTGCGCGCCTTGAAGGGGGGAAAGGAAAGCACAGGAGACAAGGACAGGGGAGGCAGGCACGGGCAGGCACGGGCAGGCGGGCAGGCACGGGCAGGGGAGAGGGGAGACTGCAGCGAGCGAGGGCAAGCACAGGGGAAGGGAGCGAGCGTCGGGCGCGCCGACCCCCGATCTCCCGGCCCCGTCGGCCCTCGCCCAGGCGCACGCACAAGCGCGTGCCAGCCGGCACACGCTGCTCGTGCAGCATCAGAAGTCATTGAACCGACCGCGCAGCATTTTTTTGGCCAGTCGGTCGCTCGTTTGGTGCGGCGGCGGCGGCGGCTGCTGCTGCTGCTGCTGCTGAAGGTGGGGGTAATGCTGGGGCAGGTCCTCGCCGAAGGAGGGGACACGGTCGACAGGCACCAGCGAGCCGACGGAGCGCTCCTTGAAGGACGCATTCTGCTCCAGCATGCGCGACCAGGAGGGCGAACTCTCCGGAGGCGCGGCGGGCCCGATGCCGGTGGCGGCCGTGCCGCCGCGGCTGCTGCTCGGCCCCGCCCCGGCCGGGGGGAAGAAGAAAGACATCTCCGCCTCGGGCGGAGGGGAGGATGGCGACCGCTGGGTCCCGGCCAGGGCGCCGGCGTGGGGCGCCGCCCCCCCCTGCTGGGTCAGCATATGGCCGGAGAGGGGCTTCAGCCGGTCCAGCACCGAGCCGAGGGGCGACAGGGGGGACGACTCGCCGGCCGTGGCCATGCCGCTGCCCGCCGTGCCGGCCGCCATCGGCCCCCCGCCGGCCAAGTACAGGTCGTCCTCCGGGCAGAGGCCCAGCGCCAGCGGGGTGATGAGCAGGGCCGGGTCCGTGGTGGAGCCGGCTCCGCCGCCCGGCGTCCGCGGCGACGGAGGTACAGCCCCCCCCGGCGGGGGGTCCCGCTCGACCGGGGTCACGGACAGCAGCGAGCGACGGAGGGCCGCGGCCCAGGCATTGAGGCCGCCGCCGCCGCCGCCGGCATTCATCCCGGCCCCGGCCGAGGCGGGGTCTTGGACCCGGACCACGGTCGGCGGCACCGCCCGACCGGTCTTGTCCAGGGTGACCACGCGCCGGGCGCCGGCGGCCGGGCCCACGCTCGGAGATGAGGGGGCAGTTGGGACGCTGATGTCCGCCACGGCCATCGTGGCCGGTGGGGGCGGCGGCCGCTGTGCCGGCGCGGCCGGCGCCGGCACCTCGGCAAAGAGCAGCTGGCAGCCCTCGCCATCGAAGAGGACGCACGCCGGGCCGCTGATGGCAACGGCCGGCGTGGCGGCCGCCATCTTCCTGGCCGACTGAGGGGAGGCCGGCGGCGACCGCGGCGACCGCAACACCGGGGGCACACCCCGTGGCGAGGAGACCGGCGTCAAGTCGGGTGCCGCGTCGGTGAGGGCGACCTCCCCCCCGGCCACCGAAGCCATGCTTTGCTCGGCGGGATGCTGCTTGCCCTGCTGCTTGCCCTGTTGCGGCGGCCCGTGCGACTCGGGATGCTGCTGGTGGTCGACCAGGCTGCGATCCGGGAGACCATCAAATCCCAGAAGCGGCGTCGGGGGCTGCCGCTCCGGCAACGAGGGGTCCGCCGGGGCGTTCGAGCCGGCTGCCGCGCCCGGGCGCCCGGCAATCGACCCGAGCGTGCCCCACAGCGAATGCCGCCGGGACAGGCGCGTCGGCGGCGCCACCACCGGGGGGGGCTCGCTCGCGTGAGCCCCCGCGGAAGTCGCCGCCAGGGCACCCGAAGCAAGGGCCGCCTTGTTGCGAGGAGGGCCCGCCCCGGAGGGGGGAGCCTTCCATCCGGCGACCGGGAAGAAATCCTCCGATTGCCTGCTGGGGCTGGGCTGCTGGCGGAGGGACCCCTCGCCGGAAGCCAGCCCGGCGCCGCTGTCTGTGCCATGGCTGCCGTGGCTGCTGCCGGCGGTGGTGGGGGCCGTGGCGAGGGCCCCCGCCGCGCCGAGCTGGCTCACCAGCGGCTGGGCCAAGTGCAGGCTGCTGCAATCGGCGCTCGGATGCATCGACGAGGGGTATGGCTGCTGCGGGGGGAGGCTGGCCCGGCGACCGCCGCCGCCGGCGCCGCCGCCGCCGTCCGCGAAGGGCGGGCCCGGCGGCATGCTGCCGGCCGCGAGATCAGCCGGGTTGAAGATCCGACTCAAGAGGGACTTTGCCGGGCTGGCCCCCCCGGAGGAGGGCGACGTGGGGCTCGACACCGGGGGCTGCTCGACAGCCGCCACCCCGGCGACCGGGATGTCAAAGCCAACGCGGCGGAATGCCGGAGCCGCGGCCGCCGTGTCGGCCGAGGGCCCGGACGCGCCCTGCGGCGGAGGCAGGGACGTCCCCATGGCAGCGGCCGCCAATGACGACCGGCGAACCACGCGAGGGGATCCGTCAGCCGGCGGCGAGCCGAGGGCGTGCGTCCACTCCCGGGCCCCGCCGGTGCCGGGGCGTGAGGAGAGGAACTCTGCGTGTCGGGGGG